AGAAGGCTCAATCTCTCACAAAACTACAGATCCCAGGATTCCATAGCACTTAGCCGTGGTGGTTAAAGTGTTGTCAAACTGGATTATTTCTGCAGTGCAGATGCAGCTGAAGTCGCTTTAGTGGCGTAAGGCAGGGATGGGGATAGGGATGGTACAGCTCTGGTACATGTTGGCGGGTTAATTTGAACGAAAACCTGATCTTTTCATTTTCGGGATTTTTGAGGATTTGAAAAGATCAGGTTTTTGTTCGAATTAACCCCCTTTTAAATTCGAATTTAGTTATCAGACAAGGCGGAACAGGACAAATCCCGTAAATTAAAGTCTTCCGCTCGTCCGGTTTATTTCCACTTTCTCCCCGCGACTCCCCGTGTGATAACGTCCTAAATTTCATTGCTTCTAGCCTGAGTCTCACTTAATGCAGGATTAAGGTCTGCCTTCTTGACCACATTTGACTCAAGGGGATGCTCTCCCCCTTTAAGGCTTTCCACAAATTCAGGAGAGATGAGCTACTCTGTGATATTATTTTTCTTTGTACTATGTAGAGTCGTGCTTTTGTCAGAGCGCAACCCTACTAAATGGGATTTCAAAAGATCTAGTCTCGAAATTATTTCAACTTGTGCCTCCGTGGGGGAAAAGAATTTATTATTAGTTTGTTTTCTTCTCTGTCAAACAGAGAGTTCTTAGCAGAAAGTGATTTGATTGAATAAGAGTTCTTTATTTCGTCAAAGTATGATCGTTTCGGTGTTCTGAGAACTATTACATTTTGTTGGTGATCATCTTCGCTCTGACTTACTTTGCGTGTGGGAAATAGTTCCTTTCGGGGAGCTTGATTCTCAAAGAATCTAGAGAGACTAAAATTCCATATTTTGCTAGGTGCTCTTGCAAGCCAAAAGTATGTTGACTGTGTCCTTTTCGGTAAAGGTAACCGCTGCACGCGCGTGAATATAGTTTCCAAGCATTGCAATGAGTAATTAACAGCAACACAAAAGTCGCCAGCAATGCAACAGTTAGCAACACAAGTAACTTTCCAAGCATTGCAATGAATGAAAACCAATTGCTTTATAAACATTGTAGCCTAGAATGGGAAGGAGTGGCTTTCCCTCCCTGACCGGTTGGTTCCTGCTGCCCTTCCTGCCTTCCTTGTAGGGACGACCTGGATGCAGGAGATCCTGACCTTCATCCACAGCCAGGGTGACCCCAAGCCGGCCAAGACCATCCCCAACTGGGTCCGCTCTCCTTGGCTGGAGCACATCTACTTCGAGAAGACTCTCCAGGAGACCTCCGGACCTCGGCTGCTGACCACTCACCTTCCCTATCCGGTGCTGGCCAGTGCCTTGAAGAAAGGCCAGCCCAAGGTAGGTTGGGGAGAGCCCACCATCCCCTAACTGTCCAGCTTTCTTCCGAAGGTCTAAGACCCAGTCTGCCCAAGGGTTGGGTCAGAAGGATGGGAAGTGGACAAGTCCGGGGACCTTCTAGCCGCCAGATGGGGTCATGGTGACCAACACAGGCTGCAGATCCTACACCGATTGCTTCATCGTAGCATAAGGTGGAGTTCCCTTACGCAGCCCTTGTACTGAATGACAGCGTAGCACAGTGGTTCCCAAATTTTGATCCTCTAAGTTCCCAAAATCAGTGCTCCGAGGAGCACTTCCCAGGTGCTCTGCAGCCACTCCAGGAAAGGGAAAGAAATAAAAATGGAATGAAATTAAAGAATAAGAATATATGCTTCTATATACTCCTAAACACCATTAACTTGTAAGACATAAGGTAGGACTCTTAGGGGCTCTGCCATAGAAGTAAGGGCTCCATGAGTCAAAAAGGTTGGGAACTCCTGCTCTAGGTGTTTTGGATTTTAATTCCCAGAAGTCCCAGCTGGCTTGGCCAACAGAAAGGAATTCTGGGAGCTGTAGTCCAAAACATCTGAAGGACTTCTGGATACGACTGTTGCACATTGTCCCAAAAGACCAGTCTGCATGTGTAATGCAACGTAAGCCTATGTATGCAATTGACAGAATGCCAGCCATAGATGGCTTTAGTAGGCTTTACTTAGGCTGGTTAATTAGAATGAATTAGACCAGTTAATTAGAAATAGACTTTAATTGAACAAATTCATGGAGGATAAAGGTGTCAACAGCTACAAGCCACGATGGGTTGATGCAACTTTTGCAAATTCACATGATGTTTATCCATGTGCCCCTGCTAAAACTGGCAATAGACTCTTTCAGTTGCACACTCGTTTGCACATTTGGTTGTGCATTCAGTTGTGCAACATTGCCACTCCAAACAAGAGTCAAGTAACACAGAGGTAACTCTGCATGTGGGGATCCCTGCTTTGCAACCTTTGTTCAGGATTCCCTGGAAGACTTCACAAGCTGCAAATACTCTCAGACACTGGCACAGAAATCTTTGTTTCCTCCCAAAGTAGGGCGAAAACTATGGAAACTGTTTATCCTTCCAGGTTAGGATGAGGAACGGCAAGACTTACATCCCTAGTCTGTTGTCTCCACAGGTGATCTACCTGGCCAGACACCCCAAAGACGTGGTTGTATCCTATTACCACTTCTGCAGGATGGCCAAATTTTTCCCAGACCCTGGATCTTTTGATGAGTTTCTCCAAAGCTTCTTGGATGGCACCGGTACGTGAGACACGCAGGAACTTCTTCTCTGCAATGTAGTCATAATGCAAACTGAGCCCCCCAAAAAAGGTTTAATTATCAAGGCTGCTCTTTCTGGGCCTAAAAAAAGAAAAGGGACTTAGATCCTACATCACTGAATCCGTAGCTACATTGCAGAACTGCAACTAAAACCCAGTTAGTGAATTGTGAAGATGTGCATATGGGCACCGGCAAGAGTGATGCTGCGATGTGGCAGGTCCTAACCAGTGTCCAGGTGCAAATTGGGGGAGTGACCCTTTGGACATTGATGCCCATTGAGCACTGGACTGTGGTCCATCACTCACTCCACTGGCGACCATTGTGCAAGAGACAATGTTGTAACCTCACAGCATCCTCTGGGTCAGTGATTCCCAAACTCTGGTCCTCCAGGTGTTTTGGACTTCAGTTCCCAGAAGCCTCGGCCATCTTGGTCAACGGTCTGTGGTTCTAGGAGCTGGAGTCCAAAACGCCTGGAGGACCAGAGTTTGGGAATCACTGCTGAATACGGATGTTGTGGAAGTACAAAATTCAATTTCGTGCACATTTAGGAAGATGCAAGTCCTAAGGAGAATATCAGCCAAAAGTGTTCAGTGGCCACATCATCATGATGTTCATTATTTTACGTAATGCAGCTTGATTCCAACATTTAAGCTGTACAGACCTCACTGTTAACACCAATAAGTCTGCCTTGAGCTTGTTCCTGCTCTCTCCATATGCGCTGGTTTATGATGATGAATGGTGTTTGGAAGACCTTCCTTCGATTTAGGGTTGTGCCTTGGTTTTTTCCCCCTGGCAAGCGTGCTCTTTTCCCCAATAACACATTCCTATGACAAAGAGAAATGGAATTCAGTTCAATGATCTTTGTAAATTCTTCCTCCCTCAATTTTTTTGTGGCTGCCCATCAATAATCATTCTTTCCATGGTTTGCAACCCTTGGGTCAGATCCTGCCGATGCACGATGCCAGCAGCGGAGGAGAGAGAAAGCAAGCAGAGCAACCTGTTCCTCCTTTTTTATTTCCTTCACAGCTGCAATGCTTGCTTCTTATTTCCTCCTGACTATGCTAGTGCAGTTGCACTGACATAATGCACCAACAGGATTCTAGTCCTTATTGTTAAACTAAGTGGAAACGAACTTTAAAGCCAAAATAATACAAGAGCAAAACATCCATCCATTGATCCCTTTATTTTTATACTGCCTTTCCTCCAAATTGGGACTCAAGGTGGCTTGCAAAAGAGGGGAAACTAGGACTAAAAACCTATGAAGATTTCTGATCCAAATAGCATTAGACTATCAGCAGTACTAAAAGACTTTTAAAACATTAAAG